ACATTACATAATCATTAAGTGAGAAAATCTCTGGTTAATGCATCAATTTGCAATTTATATAATGAATAGAACATAACAATCAACACATAGTTATAGTTAATCCTTACCATAAATGCATGTTACTAATACAATTATCTTATTGTCAATAGAAGTATTCACGTAACATAATATATGTCAATGGTATGGGGTTAATGAATTGTTGTATTTTGTAAATTGACGTATTCTCTTAGCAATTGTCGTAGGCTGAAATAAACCTTCCTTTCAAGTTTTCATCCAACATATTGTATGAGTTTTGTCTAAAATAAGAATCCATATGTTGTGGTCTACACTCTACAAATACAAATATATAGTATATGAACAATATTGGATTTTACTTTTTATGAACCTAAGAGGGAGGACGTTTGACACTTGAGCGGTTATGCAAAATATTAAGTATGTGTACATAATATTTATGAGATATATGACTAATTACTTAACTAGTTAATTTGGTTTGATTGGTTAGGAATGTTTGAAACCAAACCAAACCTCCTAAACCAAACAAGATAAAAAATTTAATCCAACCAAACCGTTATCAAATACTACCGGTTAAAATGATTACCAGGTAGGTAATCACACCATTTAAACTCCTCTAACCCTTTGTTTCTTAACTAGGGAAAATGGGTTGAAGGGAAAAGATGAGAGAAAAGTGGGAGTTCCTAGATGTTTTCACTTGTACTTTTAGACATAAATAGTATGAAGGGGACGAAAGTATGAGGGATTATTCACTGTGAAAGCCTACCCCAAATTGGGGAGAAAGGCTGTGTTACGAGTATATGTTTTCTTTCTTTATTTTATTTTAAGCTAGCCCTTATCACCGAAGATGAAAACCATAAAGTTTGTATATAAGTATCATTAGGGGCGAGGACTCAATACCATTATATAAGTTCATTTTATGTAAGTGAAAAGCGTGATTCTACGTAGAAGCATTTTGATAATCTAGAACCTTAAAAGAATAAGTTTTTAATTTTTAAAACGTGAATGCCTTGTAACTTGGATTAATAGTGAACCAAAATTAGCGGAAAAGAATAAATTTGATCTACTATTTACAAGTAATAAAAATAATATCAATATTATAAAAAATATCAACATATAATTAAAACATTTTATTATTACTTAATCAATAAAATAATATATCTACCACACTTTCCAATATACTTTTCTTCATAAAGAACGCCCCATGGACTGGGGTTGCGCTTAGGGCTGTTAATGAGCCGAATCCAGCCGAGCTTTGCCATAGTTCAGGCTCGGCTTGTTAATATATTTCTAGGCTCGAGCTCAGCTCGTGTTCGTCACGAGCTTTAATATTCAAGCTCGAGCTCGACTCGTTTATGAAAATGAAAGCTCGAGCTCGACTCGTCAAATAAGTTTAACGAGCCCAAGATCGAGTTCAGCTCATAAAATGTTCATGATAGCTCAAGATTGACTTAGAACTAAGCACATAATTACATTCAAACCTGTAGCAAAGTCTATCAAAGTAAAACACAATATTTATACCAATTTCAATACATAAATACATGAATTCTAATCCTTTTTTATGCCAAACCATTAAATGAGATTGTTCGCGAGCTTTCGAGCTGAACATGGTATGACTCGAATTCGGCTCGTTTAGTTAACGAGCTTGTTCGTGAGCCGGCTCGATTAAGAAGAATCGAGTGTCGAACGAGTTTTTCTCGAGTCGGACACCGAGTCGTTCATTAACAGCCCTAGCTGTGCTACCAACCTACCAAGAATTGAACAAGAGACCTTGGAACGCTCCGCATACGGTTGTACTTGTACCGCTAGGCTGCACCTTCTTTCGCTATTTAGCGAATATTTTCTTTTGTTTGTACATTGCAAAATTTATGTCTCTTGAAAGCATCCTAGTTATTCTGCTAACTGCATAAGTTCTTAGTATATACTGACTAATATCCAAAATGTATGAACTAGTATTCAAATCTGCTGATTTTACTAAAGTATCTAGATAGCACAAACTAGTATTCAAAACATCACAAACTAGTTATCCAGATAGCAGATACCAACTAATATCCACAATCAACCAACTAGTATTCAATATGAATAGTCTTATGTAGGGCTGGAAGTTTGGTATCGGTATTTGGGATATACCGAATACCGTACATAATTTGTCTATATTTGGTATTACCGAATACACGTATTATTTCATGGGATTGGAATTGGGATTGAATTTCAATTGTTATTCGGTATTAAGGATTACAACATTGAGATCGGTATATACCGAAATACCGATCAATACCGAAATATAAGTTAGTGTGTGTTTTATCATCTCAACTACACTTTTTCATTCACTACTACGCGACCCTCAACCACCAAGAGTGTCATTTAATTATACATAGATCATTTCATCACTATTTCACACTAGTATTAGTCGTCTCTCAACCTCTAATTCGTTAAATTAAAGATAACCATTTACAAGACCTTGAGATGTTAGCTCTAGGCAACTCAAGACTCTTTGCTTAGTCTCTTTGCCCTAAATTAAACAATAAAATCTAATTTATATATTTAATTATTAATTGTAAAGGTAATTTTGTATTCGATAATACCGATTGGGATACCGAGGTACCGATTGGGATACCGAAATATTTAGGGATTGAGATTGTGATACCGAAATTATTTAGGGATTGGGATTGTGATTGATTTTAGAGTATAATTCGGTATTCGGGATTTTGGTATTTGGTATTCGGATACCGATACCGTACCGATTTCAAGTCTTATGTGTTATCTGAATACTAATTATGTCATGTAGGTATACTATTCTGTGTTGTCTAGACATTAATTTGTGAATTTGGGATAATAGTTGATTGACGATGGATATCTGTTAGCAGACTTTGAATATTAGTCTGTCATTTCTAAATGTTTTGGTACTTGGATACTAGTTCATATATTTTGAATATCAATTAATATTTGTTAACGAATCCTGGAGTTAGCGTATTAACTTTTTCGCTTGAATGGCGAAAAATAGGTTGGATCCATAGCGAGATTTTTCCAATAATAGCACCTTTAAAAAAAAAAATTACAAAACTAGCACCCTGTCAAAAATATTTACAAAACTAGCACCCTTTTATATTGACCGCACCCTGCAGGTGCGATTTACACATAAACCGCATCCCCCAGGTGCGTTTTACACATAAATCGCACCTTGAGAGTGCGATCTAATTTGGTGGGCCTAAATCGCACCTTGCCCATGCGTTTTCATGTCTGGCCTACATGAAACGCATGGCCGAGGTGCGGTTTAGGCCTGACCTACCTAAACCGCACCTTGGTGATGCGATTTATTTCTCCAAACATGAACCGCATCTGCAAGGTGCGATTTCACCAGGTAGATCGCACCCCCCAGGTGCGGTTTACGTGTCAATTATTTACCGACACCATGCAGAGAATTATGTACGTAGGTTTGCATGGCAGACTAAAACCGCACCCTAGAGGTGCGGTTTTCACAATTTTTTCCCCTATATAAGACTTGCCGGAAAACAGACTCTTCACACCTCTCATTCTCCCTCGCATTCTCTTTCATTTTTCTGTTGTATATCTATATTTATTTAGTGTGTTTGCCATTAAGATTAACTCGTAAGTTTATTTTGTGTTACTTTTTATGCCATTAACTCGTAAGTTTATTTTGTGTTACTTTTTATGCCATTAACATTAACTCGTAACTTTATTTTGTGTGACTTTTTATGCCATTAACATTAACTCGTAACTTTAATTTGTGTTACTTTTTATTGCATTAACATTAACTCGTAAGTTTATTTTGTGTTACTTTTTATTGTTATTTGTGATTTGTGATTTTTATGATATTAACTAAAACTATGGTTTGTTTGTGTGCAGATGGCATTCCGTCAGTTGTTGCTTGGCTTACGGTGGAATGGTTACACGGAAGACACCGGAAAGGGGGCCACCTACGTCGGTGGCAATTTTCAGAAAGTAACGGTCGGTACCAGACCGAAGCTTGAAGACCTCCATCGAATATGCACTGACGTTACTTGCATGGATGGCACGAGGAGGGTAGATCGTATGGTGTACCGATACCCAAACAGAGCAACTGGGTCATTGTGGCATGAGGAATATACCATAACCACTCAAGATGACGTAGATTCCATGCTCGAATTCTTGAGGTCCAACAAATTGGCCAAAGCCGAGATGTTCGTTTACACCGAGCCAGCCGTTAGTGTTGGAGGTCATTCTGGACACGGTCAAACATCTGGTATCCATGGTGGAGGTGAATTATATGACGATCATCCCTACCAAAGTACATACCGCTTGAAATTCATCGACGTAAACTCCTTCTCCTTGCCACCAATCGGCCATTTTTTCGGCGTAATTCGGACAGAGCTTCGGCTCGGCTCGGCGGGTTTTTGAGGAAAAAACCTAAGAAATATTTTCTGATGGCAGATCGGACTTAGCCGCAACCAACAGACTTTTATTTCCTAGGCTTTTGGGAGGGGAGGGTTTAGAGAGATTATATCTAGAGAGAGAAGGAGAATGGGTTGTGTGGAGTGAAGAAATGAGAGGGGGAGGGGGGGTATTTATACCCAACAGATCGCACCCCTCGGGGGCGGTAGGGTAATTTTACCCCGTAGAAATCGCATCCCCCCGGTGCGATATCCACGCCAAATCGCATTCCCCAGATGCGATCCCCGCGTCCCGATGCGTTGAACGCGCAGAAAACTGACGCTCCAATTCTCCAGGCGAGAAATCGCACCTCACCAGTGCGATCCACACTCAGTCGCGCGGATTGCTGACGTGGCTATGCTGCAGCCCGTCAGATCGCATCTTAATCGTGCGATCCAGAAGGTCGCTGGCGACCAAACTTGGAACGCATCTTGGGGATGCGTTTTACCATAGAAATCGCATCTTAGGGGTGCGATTTATGAAGGAAACGCATTCTAAGGCTGCGTTTCATTTATAAATCGCACCTCTAAGGTGCGATTCATTAAAATAGGTGCTAGTTTTGTAATTAGTTTTGGAAGAGTGCTAGTTTTGTAATTTTTTTTTTTAAAGGTGCTATTTCTGGAAAAAACTCATCCATAGCAGGTAGTCAGGTACCCACTGGTCACTGTTCTTTGGAAGCTCATCACTTAACAATGGCGGAGATTGCAGAGTCCCCGAGCACCACAGAACACCCGCTGGGGACTGTCGGAGCTTCTCGAAGCAAAGCATCTTCAAGTGCACTAAGAGAATCAGATGTCGACCCGAAAACCATGCGTACCACGACACCCGGACTGAAGCGGCTCTTCCTCACCTTCTCGGTCCTTCTCTCCTTCCTTCTAGGTCTACTCTCCCTCTCCTTCTCTTCCTCGGCTCTTCGCCTGTTACGTTTTCTATCTTCGTCTCTGAGATTCTTATTCTAGATGGTGAATCATTTCAGGTTTCCCGTTCTTATGGAAAACCGTCGAAATCTACCGATCGCCGCTTCCGTTCGGCGATATGGACGCGCTGTCGAAGCAAATCGAATCGAGCCCTTTGCAGTTTCCTTGCCATTTCCAGTCAGTATTCCTCAACTTCGACTCGCGTTCTAGCGGCGGCATTCTGGATCCGCGAGAGCTTCGAAGTTCGATCCTCTCCGAGATGACGAAATTGACCTCCCAAACTCTAGAGCGTCAATGTGGCTCCTGCGGTGAAAATTTCACACTCTCTGTAGTAGTAGATTCTGGTGATCGTGCTTGCAGACAATCCGACGAGCGACATGGTAACGGTTTGACACCGAATTGCTCGTACAAATGTGGTGCGTTAGGGGCTCTGAACTTAGGCGATGGTGAGGCCGTTGATGAAGCTTTGCGGTCTGCTTTGGATGAGAGTTGCTCTGATTATGGCGGGAAACTGTATACTGTGGTGGTGGTGAATGGAGATGGTGCTGGCGAGGGGCCAAAGGCATTAGTGGGGAAGCACCGTCATGGGTGGATCTCGGGAAGGGAATTGGACGCTGAGGCTATGATAGGGAGAATGGCTGAGATGTTCGTGAAGATCTTTATGAATGGAGGGAGAGAGGATGGAGCAATTCATGGAGAGTTCATGCCAGTGGGTGCTGATGGGAGAGTTGTTCTGTCATTCAGTTTGCTCAACGCCAATCCGGATGATTGGTTTTATGATTGGTACGAATCTTGATATTTGCTTCTAAATGTCATGTTCATGCCTGTTTGCTTTTGCTAATGGTTTGTCTCCTAACCTTAGTTTGTGCTGTTTTATCTCCTCGTGTATTTGCAGGGACTTCCAGAAATTAGATGACACTCTTTTAAACCCTGTTATTGAAGCATTAAAACCTATAGCGAACATAAGTGTTGAAAGCCAAGTAATGGTGTTCGTTTCCTTTTACTTCGGGCTTCTGACTTATCACCATACGCTGCCTTTTCTTTTGTATCTGACATCAACTTCGCTTCATATCGTTTTCCTCTCATGAATAGGTATTATACCATACCCCAAAGTCTTCGTTTTCATACTGGGATGAGAGTTTAGGCAGCTACATCTTCAGCACCAAAGATCTTCCTTTCTTTGTATGATTCTCCTCAGTTCATAGGAATGGTCATTTCTTTCATCTTGATTGGAAAATAAATTATCTCATTGTTGCTTTTACTCCTACCTGCTGCCCATTCCGTCTATCAGAAGATGTGTCATGGTTTCATTCGCTAAAACCTTGTATGCGTGCTAAATAGGTGAACTCAAATGAGTGGCATTTAGATACATCTGTTGCAGCTGGTGGGCGCACGAAGATATTGCAGTTTGTGGTGTATATTCTTTCATCCCTTCTCATGTAAAATCCAATCCTCATGGAATTTTGACTCTTTTCATGAGCTTAATTCTCTGTCTTCACTTTCAGATATGTACCGTCTGCAAACGAATGCCCTCTTTCCCTACAGCTTCCAAGTGGAGAGATTTCTAAAACAAACGGCTTTATATCTCCAGTTAGTTATATATATATCCTGATCTTGAAGTTCACAATTGCTCGTGCAGGTATGTTCTTGAAGTTTTGTGTGGTCCTGCTAACTGTTTTATGACTTAATGCAGATGTGGGGAGGTGTCATGGTTTGGAATCCCCAGAGCTGCATAAAATATTCAGGAAGCGGGCCTCCTGCTAGACTCTTAATGCATCCTGATGTAAGATTTCATTTGTCAAATTGTCAGATGCTGCCTGGGGTTACTTCATTGCTTGCGAACATGCTTCAGCCTGTTATGTCAAGCTAGGATTTTGCCCATGTTGCAGCACCTGCTCTACAGTCTACTGCATCTCATATGTGATTACTGTATATGCTTGCATCCCCCATAATAATCCTAAAGGATATGATACCAGTTAAATGTTAGCTTGGAGGTGGAGAATCATTTGACCATGATATTTCGTTGCTCCATTTGGACTTAATATCTGACCTTTATTTTTGTGTTGCTGGCTGTTTGTACATAATTAGATGTTCCTATGCTTCCCCTCAATTTCCCTGTCTTACTCATCTAAGCAGCATGATGCTCCATACTCCATAGGGATTTATGATCTGTTTTTTTTCTATCATTTTTTAATTTGGCTTTGTTTCACGTGTGAAATACTCATCAATGTTTCATGTCACCTCAAACTGCTCTCTACAATATCAATTTCAGCTTCAAAATACACTAGTTTTAGGAGCTCTTCCCTCAGGCTCACTGTTTCGCAGTATGCTTCTGAAGAACATATTTGTGTGCTCATTGTGCACAGGATCTTCACAGGATATTTGAAGTTCTCATGGGGCAACTGCGACAACTATTTGGTCTAAAATCTGATAGCATTTACGTTGGTGCAGCAGGTGCTTACAAGCTGTTACCTAGTGAGAAAGGCTTCACAGAATGGCAAGAACACAATTCTCCTCCCATTCTTTTGTTTAAATTTTCCTTTACAGTCATCTTCTTGTTGATGTACTGTTTTCATTGTGTTGTAAAGCCTGATGGGCAGCCCAAATTGTCTATTATGGTGACCTACTGCCTATTGTTGTTTTGCAGGGAGTTGGATGTCTTGTCACGACAGCACACATGCTTTAATCTTCATTCGAGTGGAACAACTCTTGGATCTCTTTCCAGACTGGTAGGTTCACAGGAAGTAGCTTAACTGCTCTCTTACTTGCCATGTTGGTTCCACCGTCATAAAACTTGTTGGGGGTGCAGGTTCAATCACTACCAAGGATGATCATAAAGGACGAGATAGGAAAGCAGGTCAGTTCTCCTTTTCCATTTTGCTCTAAACATGTTAAGATTGGTTGAGCCATCTGCTTCTTGGCACATGTAAATGAATAGGAAGTAATGCATTATGATTAATGCTTGTGTTAACTTGGTTCATAAATGGCCTACTTCAATGAAATTTGGGGAATCTCTTCTCGAGCTTAAAAGTTATTGCATTATGGAGCAGGTGAAGTTTTCGCTTGAAGCAGCTCAATTAGCCCAAACGAATGCCTCTGTTGGACTTTATGAGGCATCAGCTGGTACGTACTACCACACTCTATAAACTTCACATACTTGAGCAGTTAGTCTCTATAAGTGATCTCTCTCTCTCATCATGAGCAGCATCCTCGAGGCAAGCCAGGTCATTGGCAGAAGATGCCTTCTTCCACCCCTCTATTATGTCAGTCAGCTACTTCTCCTTCGAGCACTGTTTTGCTGTCTACTCGGTAAAGCTTTCCTATTTCAATGCACCATATGTATCCTCTACTTCTAGTTAATCCTTTGGTTGTGTTACACACATTCTTTAAGTGTAAACTAGCAAGTGATAACATGGAACTACTCAACTCCCTTCTCAAGCTTTTAGTATGTGTTGTGTTTTTTTCGTGGCGCAGCCATTCTTCCTGCCAGTGTCATTGCATGTGCTCCTTGCGGCACTTAGAGAATGGAGAAGATACAAGCAAGAAAAGGCCAAGTATGTGCGGTGGAAGGTTAAACAAGTAAAGGCAGCATAGAGCAGTGCTGCTGATCTTACAGAAATCCTTTCGCACCTCCTAGTTATCTCCCTTCCGGCTCTTGTTTTTCACCCCTTATCGTGACCGAGTACCAAGAAGTGTGCTCAATGGAAGGGAAGGAAGGTCTACAGCGGTGGAATTGTTAGGCGGCTACTACCGGTTTCTTGCTGTTTGGAGCAAACGTCAAGTTCTTCACAGTTGGATTGTATATTTGCATCTTACTAGAATTTTTAATTAGTGATAACAATTAGTATATGATTAATATCTAAATGATTTTCCATACACGGGTGTTATGATGGTCATTTTGGGCATAGTTGTGTTCATAATCACTACATTCTAGTCTAGGATATGATCTTCGTCATATTTTTAGGTCTTGACAAAGAATGAGGTGTTTTGGACACAGTTGGAGTCTTTGGAGGTGCAAGTGTAGAGAGCAAAGGGATATCTGCTCGAGATCACGACCAGAACTTCAGAATAATCTGTGTTTTAAGGATCACGGCCAGAGAAGGGAGGTCACCGATTACACTTGTCATTATCTATCTATTTGTGGTCGTGATCTCCAGTTTTCACAAGCGGTAAAAGTTGGCATTTCACAGCTCCAAGGTGACTCGGTTCTGGAGGCCCGTAATCTTGTCCTTCCGATCCCTAGGGTTTGTATAAGGAGAAGAGGTCATTCTTGAAGACGGATGAATCCCAGAGAGAAACAGAGTGTGGTGAAGATGTGGAGACTCAGTTTTGGAGGGGTTTAGTGATGGATCTTCTTCAATCCAACCACAAATTCATCTAAGATTTAAGAAAGATGGCTAAATCAAGGAGAAGATGGATCTAGCCAAAGATTACTCATCTCATCTTTGTACATCTTTCTCTCTCTATATATGTTCTACCTTCTGTAGTTGGTTAGGAGATGAACTCTGATAACACCTAAAATATGTGTTATTAGTCTTCCTTATCTAGGTGTTTTCTTATCTTGATGAGCTCCAAACATTGCATTTTGATACTAGGATTGCTTCATATGGACATGTTTAGGTGTGAATATTTAGGTTTATGCAAAATTGGATGGAGTTTAGGGCAAGAAGTGTAGCTTGGTGAAGAGAAGGAGTTCTCTGGCAACAATCTCAGTTTGTGATTTTCGAGTTCAAGAGGGACGCCAGAGTTAATAATAGGGACAGGCTATAAACCAATAAGTCGATATGACGATTAGTGGCTAACCAACAATCCAAAATCCTTTACCGAAAACCACACCATTAAACCTTATCGGTTCCGGGAGTGGTTATATTGGCGGTTAACCACTTACCACGCACAGACAAATTAAGAAATGATTTTCACCGAGCCTTCTCTGTGGACTAGGAAGCAGACCGCCACCGGTACCCTTTGCCTTGTCGGTGCAAGTAACCCTTCTATTCCTCCACTTCCCAACTTTCACTAGTACCCTTTTCCTTTCTTTTACTTCAGAGCAAGGCAAGGGTTTCTCGATCGCCACCGGATGTAGCTCTGGACAATGCACTCCTCTTCTCCCTTTTCGGCGCTAAGCTAAGGTCAAACCACACCATCCAAAACTATAATCATCCGCTTGCTTTGGAATTTCCGACGATTCGTGCCAGCCGCTTCTACTTGCGGCTCAGGTTACCGATGTTTGCTACTCTGTCGCCATCATGTTAACCAGTGGGGCTGAACTTTTCTTCTTTTTCTTAGGAGCGAAGCGAATTCATAAACTCCATCATGGTGTTGTAAAAGATTAAATTCTTGTGCTGCATATAGAGGTGGCAAATGGATTGATTCATTAATTGGTGGATTAGATTGGTGGATCTGTGGATCAAATAAATTGGTGAATCAAATAAATTGGTGAATTCATGGATTGGATAAAGTGGATTGATGGATTATTCATGAATCCAAATGACATCCTCAACCAAGGACCGATATGTAAAATGTGAAAAGTTTAGGTACTAAAATGTCATAATAAAAATTGTTAGGTACCAAAACGTAATTTTCCAATGATATTTTTAGTATAAAAAATTAAATTTTGGGTACCAAAATTTAAAATATAAAAAGTATAGGTACCAAACCGTAATTTGTCATTTGGATCCATGGATCAATCCATGGAACCACCAATCCAATTGGATTTGAATAAAATGGATTGAATTTAAAAGGATTGGATTAGGTGGATATATTTTTAATGGGTTGGTGGATTGGATTAAGAATTGCCACCACCTCTAGTTGCAGATATACTTTTTCCATATCTGCACCAGCAGGTCGGAAAGCATGCCAACAATTGCTTTCTTCCCTAGGACGAGATGTTCTTTTGCATGCCAACTAGCCACAGTTGCGACCGTCGTCTGGTATTGCAGATCACTGTCAGTTGCACTTGCAACTCTGGTCTTGACAGAGGGAGGCAGTAGAGAGGAGAAACAAATTGTGATTCGGGTTAGGACAATGGCTGGCGTCTGGCTCGTGAGTGGAGGATGGCAGAAAAAGTAAGAAAGATGAGAAAAATGATGGTGTTTTGGGGAGTGCCAGTTGGTGGTTAGATTATCGTATAACCACTAACCTCCGATTCGGTTAGTGGTTAACCAATAAGCCAAATACCCCTACCTAAAACCAAACCACTAACCTCTTATCTGTTATCGGTTAAACCAAAAGTGACTTTATCTATTAGCTTAACTATTAAAACCACTAACCGCTAGTTGTTAGCCACCCCTAACATAAAGTATTATGGTTTGTCGAAGGAGATCAAGGCTTTCGAGCTCCCAGCCAAGAAAGAGTCATAGTACTGAACCACAGCTAAAGATCTTTGAAGAAATTGTGCACAAAATGGTATCGCTTGAAAATCACGAGACCTAAAAGGAGTTCATGGGCATGAACTTCCTCGAATCTAGGCCATGAACCTGTTGACCCCCAAGGAAAAATATAGCATCATTTTCATTAAAAAAACTCATAAATAGATAAATGAGCTGAGGATTGTTCTTTGAAGAAGAATAGGCTTGGAGAAGGGTAGGAGGAACATTTTGTAGAATTTGATAACGCGGAATTGAAACGAACACAGAACACAAGATTTTACGTGGTATCCTCGATCGATTGATTGATCGAGACTAATCCACGGTGAGCTCATAAGAGCTCACGGCTGATCTCTTATTAGGATTACATCTTGACGGCTTGCTATCACACAAGTCGATAGCTAAGCTTATATAGATAAACTTAGGGTTAAAACCCTAATCCAACGAATCAGACGAGGCCCAACAAGGCCCAATACTAACACGGTTTAAGTAACCGCAACACTCCCCCTCAAGCGAAGACATGAATGACAAGAATGTCGAGCTTGAAGAAGTAAATGTGAAGAACAAGCATTGATGGCTTGAACCACAAAACTCAAGATGAATAACATCTCGGACAAGGTTGATTGGAGACGACTGACTCTCTCTGAACAACCTGATGATGGAGACGATTGACTACGTCTCTTGAACTTGAACACACTTGGTACATCGCGGTCGACCTGATGACTGAGGTAGTCGACCGACGTATATTGACCTCCTATTCTCCCCCTCAAGTCGGAGCATGAACATCGTGAATGCCCGGCTTGAAAAGCGATGAATGGTTGATATGTGCTCAATAATGAACCGGAAGAGGGGACGACCATTTCTTAGATCGTGAATGCCAGCTGGACGATGAAGGGACGATGACTTCTCTAATCGTACTACCTTTTGAATGCCAGGGGACGATCATTTAATGGATCGTGAATGCCTCAATCGATACTGACAATAATTTGCTCGGGAAGACCAGCAAACAAATAATTGTCTCAAAATCTAATGGAAGAGCCATAAAACACTCCTACCAAATATGACCAATATGGGGTCGGAGGCCGGAGTGGACGTCGGCACTCCAGTAGGCAAGAAAGGAAGACCAGTGACGGGAAGGACTTCGCCATCGGTCCGGAGTCGGCGTTGGAGACCGGAGTGGACATCGGCTCTCCAAGCGACTAGACTATGCTCAGCGGAATAACATCACTGATGAAGAAATAAGCCAGCGAGATGAACTTCGTTGGTGCGCCACGAGTTGACTTCCCACGAGTTGTGAACAAGCCATGATGACCAGCTTCTTTCATAGAAGTATTTTGAAGGTGCAACTCGCCAAATCTTAGTGGCCTGACGATGGCGGACTGGCGTGTTGCAAATAAATGTCATGATGCGGTTGTGCTTCTTGACGACCCGGAAGCACTGTAGATGAGACGACGGCCAACCAACGTCGACCAAAAACTGAAGCAAGTGGCCAGCTTAGATGATGCCAACTGAAAACCCATTTAGTTTCCAACTCCACCACAAACACAAGGCCGGGAAAACATGATGACTATATAATTCTGTCAACCCAACCAACCGGAAAACTCCCACCAACGGGTCTTGGCATCCCATAATCTTCCTCCGATGCATAAAAGTGTAACTTCACGGCATGTAAAGGAAGGGACAAATTGACTTTGGACAAAACCAAATTCGTAATGAAGACCTTGACCTTTTGGGGAAATATATGAACTTCGAGCTTGAGACAACATCATGTGGGCTGTAAACTTCGACAGTATCCGTTGAGCAACCACAGAAAGACAATCAGAAGACCCTGTGAATTGACTTTTGTGATTGATGACTAAATTCGGCTTCAGATGAGACACGATGACTACCACGCCGTTGGGAGGCTATGATGTAGCAGCTATGGTTGCTTTACTGGTAGGCGATTCTTGACAGGTTGAGTGGAGTCGCAACGACGGTAGGAAAGCTCCGGGCGGCGAGGAGTCTTGGGAGACCGGCGATTCAGAGTTGCCGACTTGAGATTCAAGGTTGACGTCGCTGCAAGATCCCCAACTTGCTGCTGGGTTCCCCTTCTCGATGGCGGACTGGCGTTGATTCGAGGCAACCTCGAAAAGGAAGTTCCGAGCGGCGATGAGAACCTTGACTGGGGATGGAGACTCGCTGGAATCGCAAGCATGCTGAGCGTGGCTTCTTGTTGCCCTTGATGAACCGGGCGCCGGGAGCGGACAGGTCCAACGAGATGAAGAAGAACTCTCCGAGCAACTGAGACGGACCGCTAGGGACGAAGACATCCTCTTCGCATGATTTGAGTATGGCCATCATTTGGCCCACGACGAACGGGACTGCGGAGACACAAAGCTTGGACGAGATGAAGGAAAACAACCGAGTAACAGAGACTTGACTCATGGCGGCGGACCTCGAAGTGATTTGGGACTCATGCCGGCGGATCTGGAGACAGAAGCTTCACCGGGAAGGGTTTGTTTCTGTTTGTTGCGGATCATGGAATTGATGAAGACGACAAACGACGACGGAAGCTCAAAATCCTAATTAAGGATCGAGTTTCGCTCTGATACCGTGTAGAATTTGATAACGCGGAATTGAAATGAACACAGAACACAAGATTTTACGTGGTATCCTCGATCGATTGATTGATCGAGACTAATCCACGGTGAGCTCATAAGAGCTCACGACTGATCTCTTATTAGGATTACATCTTGACGGCTTGCTATCACACAAGTCGATAGCTAAGCTTATATAGATAAACTTAGGGTTAAAACCCTAATCCAACGAATCAGACGAGGCCCAACAAGGCCCAATACTAACACGGTTTAAGTAACCGCAACACATTTAGAATCAATTTGACCTGGTTTCTTCAAGCATCAAGTGCTTTAATTGGATGTTTTCTTCCCTAGTTCTCTATGTTCTTCTTCCGCCAGGCATGGTGAAATCTCTTCGGTACTTGGGATAAGAATCTCTAACATACCTTTAATTTTGTATATAATGGAATGATTTGGTTATAACTATTAGTGATTTCTTGTCTAATTGATATGTTTAATGATTTTTCCATGTCTTTCTTGCAAGTGGTATTGACCTAGAGGCT